TCTTCCACGACGAGCTCGGTTATTCCTGTCTTGTAAAGCCTGCCTCCTTGAGGCAGTGGCCCCACCTGCTAATTTCTTACCTCACTCCTGTCGGGGTGTTCAGCACAGATCTGCCTAGTCAGTAGTTTATAAGGTAAAAACAGCTTTCCTACAGGTAACGCAGATCTCAGCAGACAAACTAGGGTAGGCAAGCCACAGGTACACAGGCATGTCAAACAGAAAGTTATCACATCAAACAGATTCATTCAGTGCTGATGCACCAAGCATGGCACTGAGCATACAAAATGGAAAAGACAGCTGCGGGCCCTGCCCTCAAGGAGTTTCCCTCTATTTCTTATTTATTTTTGTTTCTTTCTTGGTTTCTTTGGCATGTGACATATGGTAGGTGCTCAAGAAAGGTTTGAAGAAATTAAGGAAGATGAGAAGGAGGAAAGGGGGAAGCGGGGAGGAGGAGAGAAAGAGAAGATGCCCCTGGTGAAGGGAAGTGCCTGGAGGCACAGGCAAAGATCTGGGCCTTCAGTGACAGTACCAGCAGGGCTGGTTAGAGAGGCCTGGGGGAGGGCGGCATTCCAGGAAACGTGGATGGACAGCCAGCAGAGGGCTGCTGCGGAGCACCCAGGGGAAGGGGGCTCAGATCTGGGAGAAGTCCGCAATCCAGGATGGAAGGTCGGGTGCTGTCCTGCAACAGTGGACGGCCATGAGAGTTTCCACCCTTGGAAAGAGGGAAACTTGAGGAAAGTGGTGACTTAGGAAGAAAAATCCAGGGCAACAGCAACACCCGACAGCATTCAGAGGCTGTTGAGACAAGACAGGTGGGGGCGGCGAGGGCCTGGACGTCGGGGTGGAGCAGTAGAATGGAGAGGAAAGGCCAATTTGAGTGATATTAGGGAGGAGGTCTGGGCCAGACTGGGTGACGGTGAGAGATTAAAAATAAACCATGAAAAGGGAGGTCACGCTGACTGCCAGGCTTCACGCCAGGACAACGCCACTGGATGAAATGGGAAACTGAGGCAGAAAACCTGGGATGGATGCTGCAAGGTGTGTTAATTCTACAAGGAGAGCAGGCCCTTAGGGTGCAGCTCCTACCCTGTGCTCAAATCGGAGTTGTCCAGGTGGGCGGGGTGCAGCGTGAGATCCCAGCTCATATTCTTCCGTTTCTCAGAGGACAATGCAGGTCCTGCCTCAGAGCAGGTCTCAATAAATGCACGTTGAATACACACATGTTCTCAAGGAGCTTCCTGTCCACTTAACATAATACCCAGGAGGTTACAGAAAATGATCCCATTCACTTCTCTGGAGGAGGAACGACAAGGAAGAGAAACCAGGGAGGGAGGGAACAGCGAGGAGCAGTCTTTGGGGAGAGCCACCCCAACTGCAGGTTTGCACACTGTGTTCCTGGGGGCTCTCCGGCCTGAAGAGAGGCCTCGAGTTCTGCCCCTCAGGTGGAAAGAAAGTGGCCCCATCCCTCCACCTCCGCTCCATCCCAGCACCTCACCCTTTACCTGTTCTAGAGAGTGACATTCAGCTCACGAGTCTGTCTGAAAAAGCATACCATTGATTTAAAAGAGAAAAGCATTTTTAGTGGCTTGTATTTAATGCACAAAAACTAAAATTAGACTGAAAAAGAAAATAGTCAATTCGAGCTTTAACCATTCCCTCCTAAAAAATAATTTTCAAGGGCCACCCCATGGTGGAGTGGTTAGGTTCGCGCGCTCTGCTTCGGCGGCCCAGGGTTTCACTGGTTGAGGTCCTGGGCGCAGACAGGGCACCATTCATTGCCGGTTCGGATCCTTGGCACCAACATGCCACCATTCCTCAGGCCATGCTGAGGCGGCGTCCCACATCGTACAGCCAGAGACACTCACAACTAGAATATGTACAGCTATGTACTAGGGGGCTTTGGGGAGAAGAAGAAGAAAAGAGAAGATTGGCAACAGTTGCTAGTTCAGGTGCCAATCTTTAAGATAATAATAATAATAATAATTTTCAAATAACGTCCTTTAGGTGGTTTTTGAGACTATCCTGTGTATCCATCTCTCTCGAGAAAGGTTCTTTCCATAGAAAGGCCAAGGGGATCCAAACAGACAAAATATGAGAGCGAAACCTCTCTCTGCACCTGCTCAGAGGGATCCAGAGCCTCTGGCCCCCTCAAGGCCTGCTCCCGCTCTTCCCGCACCTGCAGGCTCCGTTCCTAGGCCCCAGGCCTTATTTGGGGGATCTTGTGCCTGCCTCCACTCTGGGCTCTCAGACACCCTCCAAAGCGAAATAGTGACCACTCGCGTCCACCTCCACCGCCTGCTTCCCCAGAGCTCGGAGCTCTCCTCCAGAGCTGCGTTTCCATGGTGACAGCCCCCGTCTCCCCCAGGGCCCCGCCACACAAGCCACATTCGGGTCACATTCGGGTTTCTCTCCGCTAGTCCAGGACTCACCCTCACCGCCACCCACACCTTCCTCATGATGCTTCCTGTGCCTCAGCTCTCCAGTTATCCTCACCCCACCGAGAGGAAGCAGGTTTGGCATGGGGGAGGAATGGGACAATCGCCCACTGCAGGCCCTCCCACTAATGGACGTTTTGGAGGGCTCAGGTGCCATATTGTTTAGGGCCCTCTCATTATAAACCCCTCAGCTCCAGCTGACAACCTGATAATTCTCTCTGATAACACAATCTTTGGCAGCTATTGCGGCTGTCTTGACACTGTCCTTCTCGCAAGAAGGATTTTGAGATAAAAAAAATGAGCTGTGAAATCATCATTAGAGCCAGGAGAAGAGGGCCTAGGAATGGAATGTTCTCTCCCCACCCACCCTGCTCTCCCTGCTTCCCACCCCACCGCCCCCCTCTCCACCTCCTTGCCTCTCTCCTCCTTCCCTTCTCCCTGCTCTCTCGCTCTTCCCCCGTCTCCAGCTCCTCGTGTCTCTGCTCTCCTCACTTCCTTCCTGCCCTCTTGCTCTTTCTCCGGTCTCTCCTCCTCTCCTTCCTCCTCTCTCATCCTTTCTCTCCTTGTTTCTCTTGTTTTGGTGCCAGAAACAGTCTAATTACAACAGCGAACTTGAAGAGACAGAGAGAGAGAAAAAAAAACTCACCACACATAGCTGATTAAAATGTCCTATGAAATCTAATTTGTAAAGCTCAAATCAGAATAAAGAGTGTTACTCCCACAATTCAGGGCCAATTTGATTTTTAATAAGACTCCTTAGAGACACAGCCAAGATTTCATCAGGTTGTAAACTCAGCTACCTTCCCACCTGCCACGAGCTCTCTGTTGTGGACCCCTGTCTTGTCCTCTTGGGGGTTCCACCCCACGCTCTGCCTCCACCCCCAAATCCCCTCAGGTTCCACACACCACTCATGCCCTTCTTACAACCATCTGCTGCCGAGAGCTTGGCTCTATCCATGGTCCAAGCCTGAGGCTTCATGTCCCCAGATGAGCAACAGCCAGGGCCCAGGACCTCTGTGGCCATCCCTGGCTCTTTCAGGTTGGGGAGGAAAGGCCGTGGCAGCAGCCTGCACAGCACGTCCAGTTTTCCTGGGTTGTTTGCCTGTATCTGCAGAGCAGGGGGTGGGAAAGAATGCAAACTCAGAAGTCACAGACCCTAGATCAGACCCCAGCTCCACCACTCATTAGCTGTGTGACCTCTGGCAGGTCACTTTACCTCTCTGATTCTGGTTTCTTTGCTGTAAAATGGGGATATTTCTGCCATGAAATGTAATCAAACATGTTACAGAAGGGAGGGCACGTGAAGCCCTGTTCACACCGCGGGCCGGGAGCTCACTAAGTGTAATATCCCGTTGTCCACTCAACTGTGGCCTCCCGGGGAACACGGATCACATGACCCCGCTCTTCAGCAGTCCCTCCAGGATCAGGCTTACGGGTCCGCACGCAGCATAGCACAGTGGATGAGAACATAGTCTTTAGAGCCAGAAAATCTTGAATTCACAGTCCTAGTCCTGCCCTTCGCCACTCCCTGGACAGTTTAGTTAACCGCTAAGACTCCACATCCTGGGCCCCTGCAAAACAGGGTTGCTGAGGCTCCACGGGGTGTCTGGGGCACTGTGACAGCTAGAGGTAAGGCACACTCAGTGCTGGGTGAGCAGTTAACAAGCACAGCTCCTGCTACTACTCTCACCTCTTTGTGCCTCATCTCCTCATCTGAAAAATGGGGACAAGAATACCCAGGCTGGAATTCAGCAAAGATGCACTGATACATTGTTATGAGGATGAAAATGTTAATGAGCTAATATTTTCAACTCTTGAACCATCCTGGCATACTGTACGCACTGTGCTGTGTTTGTTTAGTGAAACACGACCTGGCGAGCTAGATGGTTCAGCGCAGTCTTGCTTTGAGGTGTGTATGGGGAGGGATGGGGTCACACTGACAATTTTCTCCCAAGTGACAGTGAGGCTGGAGTAGGAAGGGACAGGGAGGACGTGTGGAGACGATTACCTGCTCCCCCAGTCACACCCTCTGCCACGCTCCACCACAGCACGGGCCGCTGAGTTTGACCAGAGGCCCATCAAGGGGGCCTCTAGAACAGCAGTATTTCTTGGATTCTCAGGTTTAACCAAAGCACACCACTCCCCACGCCCACTGCCCTCTGGAAGCACATCCCCCACAGAACACTTCCACCTGGGTCTCTCTCCCGCCTCTGGCCTGTTGTGGAAGTTGTGGCGTTAAGTAGGAGTTACCCAAATGGAAGGGGGTAATATGTCCGAAGTGTGCGGGGTATGGCCGTTTGGGGGCTGGAGGATGGGTGGATCACAGCGTGAGTGTGCACCAGGGACTCATGAGCAGGGGGGCTGGAGTAGGAAGCCAGCTCCCGAAAGCAGGGGATTAAGCTGGGGGCAGTGAGGAAGCCACTGCTGGACCCCAGGCAGGAAGTGAGGCCCTCTGGGGGACCCTGTTCCCTGGGCCAGCCTGGCTCTGCTTCCATAACTTGAGGGGAAGCCCTCCGCGCACTGCTCCCTGCAAGGAACTGACCTCTGTGCTTGTCTCCTTCCTAGGTCAAGTGTACTCCTTCAGCCAGCAGCCCCAGGACCAGGCCGTGGTGTCAGGGCAGCCAGTGACGCTGCTGTGTGCCATCCCGGAATATGATGGCTTCGTTCTGTGGATCAAAGACGGCTTGGCTCTGGGTGTGGGCAGGGACCTCTCAAGTGAGTACCCCCAGATCTCCCCAGAAATGCCTGGCCCCCATCTCTTCCTTACCTACCCATCCACCCTCCTAGGGAACTCCATTTTCATAGGTGTTTGGGGATTAAGCCTCCAGCTTTCACTGCAGATCACATGGGCAAAGTCAGCCTAGGCAAGTCCTGGGTCCAGGATCTATAGGACTTTGAGGACTGCTCCGGCTACCGGTAAAAAATTACAGGGGCCAGCCCAGTGGCGTAGTGGTTAGGTTTGTGCACTCCGCTTCATCGGCCCAGGGTTTGCATGTTCAGATCCCAGGTGCAGACCTACACACTGCTCATCAAGGCATGCTGTCGTGGCGTCCAACATACAAAACAGAGGAAGTTTGGCACAGATGTTAGCTCAGGGACAATCTTCCTCACCAGAAACAAAAAGAATTACAAATAACCCTCAATTCTGGGGGTCAGTCCTAAACCCAACACACTGTTGTCCTGGTCGGTCTATTCTAAAGTCAAACACGATTCATGTAAAGTCAGATTTCCAGAGGTAAACTATTCCTGTTTCTTGGTCCAAAATGTGTTCCCCACTTAAGGTGCAACCTGGTTCTTCTTGGCTCTTATCCATTAAATAGAGCCACGTAGATTGAAAACTCACAGAGAAACTTGATGGATTTTAGGGGTCACCATGTGATGGAAAGAAAAGAAAAGTTTAAATTTCAAACTTTGTTCAGCCCACCCAGGCTGGTATTCAGCACAGATGCGCTGCTAGGCCCCCGTGGCGGGCAGCTGAGCTCCCTGGTGGGTGCCATGCCCCGTCATTTGTTAACTATTGTGAATGTCAGCCCTTAAGCCCATACAGATGTCTTTCCAATCCATCCTCTCCCCCGGGAAAAAAAGGAATGGAATCACCCTCCTGGTCCCCAGCCCCCATCAGCTGTTATTATTCTCCCCTGGGGAGGGTGGGCCTGTGGCTGTCTACTGGGCTTGGCATAAACTGTTAAATGCAGAACAAGGGATCTGGGTGTCCCTGTGATTGGGGAATGGCTGAAGGTGGAGAAAGAGAGAAAAATATGTATTCAACTGAGAAGTAGTTTTGCCTCTCTCATGGTTTACAGCTGCAGGAAAATAAAAATCGAAGCACACTCAGGAACATGATGGTTGGGAAATTAATATTTTAAAATGTGAGTTATGTCTTGCCAGAAATGTGTATTGAAACGTTATAGCAATGGTCAATAGCATCGCAGGGTTTGAGTGCTCCAGTCCCGCTGAGTGTGGATAAAATACACAATAATGTCCCCAAAATATACTGCACTGCCATAAAAGTTAAGTATGATAGGAACCAGCCAATTTCAAGGCCTCTGAACTCCCTTACCCTGGAGAAACTGAGGGAACGCTACCACCTTCCCAAACTAGGATCGCTCACGCTCTGCACGCCCTGAGCTTGGCCCAGCACTGTTGCTGGTTAAGGAGGCTCTCTGGGTCCCTGGCCAGTGGTTTTCAGCCTTCAGTCAGGGACTGGGGTCCTGTTGGGTCTGTGGCCAAGAGAAGGCCCCAGATCCCCATGGATGGTTCACAGAATGGCCATCACCATGTTGAAAATTGACCCTCTGGCATCCATTTCCACGAGTGGCTTTCTGGGATCCAGGACTGGGTCCTGCTAAGTGCTGAAGGACAGTGGGATCTGAGGAACTCAAGTCTGCTTCCTCTACATTTATGGGAGGAAGGCTGGCCCTCTCCCTGCAAAGCCAATAAACAAACTCCTCGTAAAGTACTTGCTCTGTATTTGGTCACCTGTCCCAAAAATAGCATCATGACAATAACAACAGATACTTACACGCTTATAAGTACTGTTTGCTTGCTTGGTAAGGAAGGGAGAGTAATAGATCTCAATTCAATTCAGCAAGTATTTGCAGAGCACTGAATACTGCACAAGTTTTCTCACGGGGAAACTGAGGCCCAGCGTTGTGGGACTTCAGCCCGCTGCAGCTCTGTCCTCTTCTATTTTAACCATGAGGCCGCATTCAGGCGGCCAGGAATGGTGCCCTAACTGAAGACCTACCTGTCTTTCTGGTCACCAAGGCTGGGAAGAACATCAAAGGAAATGATTTATAAAGACACTCCCTCATATTGCTAGAATGTTTTCCTTCTAAGAAGCTCAAGTACTTCTCAGACATTGTCTCGTAAATCTACAGTGATCCAGAGGGAGAAAAAGAAGGATTTTCTCCTTTATTTGACAGGTAAACAAAGTCACAGTTGAGAAAGAAACAGATTCAAACATATACCCAATCCCAACGCTTGGGACCCTGGCTCCTAATCCCCAACAAGCCCAGGACCCTGTCTGCTCTCACTTCTAAAGACGGGGACCTCTCTGTCTACTCTGCCTCCTTGTCATTTTAATTTAAACTAGCATGTATGGACTGCTTAATATGTGCCAGGTACTTTACACGGACTATCCTATCTACTCTTCACCATGACTCCAGGAGGTACGGGTACTGCCCCCATTTTACTGATGATGAAATGGAAGCACAAAGCAGTTAAAGTAGCTCACCCGAGACAACAGAGCCAGGAAGTGATAGAGCTGGCATTTGAACCCAGGCAATTTGACTGTGGAACCCAGCTTCCCAATAATTTTGCCTCCCCTGGGAGTAGCAAGAGAGAGTAATGATGCTGTGGAAGGAGCTAGAACTTCCTCAGAATCTATGCTTCTGGGCCTGTGTTTTCCAAAGATGCTGCCAGTCCTTGGGATAGCATCACAGCTCGCCGCCTAATTAGGCAAATACAAACAAACCCATCACTGATGTTTTCAGCAGCTCATGAGAGCGGAATCCTGCTGCTGATAGCTTGCAAGACAACAAAAACACAAGCTCCAGCCAAGATGCCTGCAGGAGATCAGGGACTAATCAAAGGACAGCGGGATCCAGAGGTTGGGCCGGAGGGGATGGGGGTGGTGAGCCAGCTGCACTGAGGGTAGCAGCAGGGAGAGGACTGGACCAGAACCCATGGCCAGCCCCTCGCCCTGGCCCTGGGGGGAACCAGCTTAACTGACCTGGTCTCCTTCCCAAAGCCCAGCAGAGGGCGGGAAGGGCAGGCAGGAGGGGAGGCGGTGATTGCCTGTGAGCACCTCTGGCCAGGCCTGAATAGCTGTGGAGGGCAGGGTCATTTGACTGCATGATGGGGACAATGCTCGCCATGAAGACACTAGCCTGAAAGGCTCAGCCGCACAGGACACACCCAGAAAGCATACTGAGAAGCCTCGTGGAGGGTCATAGCCACCTCCATTGACCAGAAATGGGTGCCAGTAGCCCCTATGCAGCAACCCCACCACCCCAGGAAGCCCGGCCCCAGCTCCAAAAGACCCTTAGCTTATGGAGGTGGGAAGGGCCTTAGAGCTGCAATATTTCTTCCAGGGTAGAAATCTCCTCTGCAGTATCCCTGACAGGTGATCATCAGCCTCTGTTTGAGTACAGCCAGTGACGGGGACCTCATTACCACTTCTGGCAGCCCAGATCCTTGTCAAGCACCTCAAACTGTTAAGAATATTCTAAGTTAATTCCCCATGTTAATTCTGCCTGTTGGTGCTAATGCTGTCCTGGGGGGCTACATGAACACGTCTAACCCACACTAAGACACTTCGAAATAGTTGAAGAGAGCTTTTGCAGGTCTCTGTCTGCCTCTGTTTCTGTCTCTCACTTGCTTAAGCCCTCGTCTTTCTGTCAAAGGGCACATGTGCCATCCCCTTGTTCTACGGCACATTTCTGAGGACTCACACTGTCTTGGTGGAGGTCGTTCAGCAAGAGGAGCAGTTTGGGCTGCGGGGAGGTGGGTGGGCCACTGAGGAGAGAAGGGGACCAGGACAGGGAGGAGGTGCCCTGTGAGGACTGGTGGGGGAGGGCAGAGCTCAGGGGAGGGGGTGGGTGGAGCACAGATCCTGCTGAGGGACACTGAGGAGGTTTAGGGCCCCAGACCCAGGAGGGGGAGGACCACCCCAGCCTGACAGGCCGACTTCCGCCGGCGTTTATGCTCCACCCAGCAGAGCAACAGGAAGGCCAAAGAATGATGGTCCTTCTCAGGCTTTATGTATCTATTATCCATCACCAGTGGCACAGGAGCCCCCCATTCCTCAGGGTCCTGAGTGCCTCAGAAGTGCTTACTCAGGCCCTGGGGGTGTGGAGGGCTGGGATGGGCAATAGGAACGACTAGAAAAGGGCCGCTTATGGTTCACAGTGGCCGGAGGTACCTGGGCGCTGGTGGCTGGGCCAAGATTTCTACTTCCTGTCCATGCTGAAACAAAACTTTTCCCCAAAAGTCACTCTTGATCCTTTTCCAAATGTTTCCCTGCTTTCTCCCTCTCTCTCCCTCTTACTCATCTTCTCTCTGTTTGCGAGGCTCGGCTGGGGTTGCTCCGTCTCTGCGTGTCTCCTCATCAAAATGTGTGCCTACCTGGTACACCAGCGCCCTGCACACCACTTTCCAGAGGAATTGCCCCGCGGTGTCTGCCCACACTCAGCATGTCCCTCTCTGCTCTCTCTTTCCCTCTCTAACAACAGCTCCCCCAACCTTCCTAAACTGAAAACCCACAGTACTCTTAGACACACACACCCTGCCCCGACCCCCTGAGGCGAAACTCCCATTTTCATGCCCCTTACACGGAGCCCAGGGCCCTGGCAGCTGCCTTCTCTGCCTGCCTCTAAGAGCAGCCCCTGCTCAGGGTACCCCTGCTGTGCCCCTTTGTCGTGAATGTCTCTCCACCCCTGCCCCAGCCCCCTCGATGTGCCTGCTGTCTCCGCAGGTTACCCACAGTACCTGGTGGTAGGGAACCACCTGTCGGGGGAACATCACCTGAAGATCCTGCGGGCAGAGCTGCAAGATGACGCCGTGTACGAGTGCCAGGCCATCCAGGCTGCCATCCGGTCCCGCCCCGCTCGCCTCACCGTCCTGGGTAAGACCGTCCACACACATGGGGCCGAGGATGCTATGGCAAGCACCAGGGGCTCAGCCCCAGAAGGGCTCCTTCCAGCCAGACTGGAGGGGCCCCCTGCTGGGCACAGCCCCCAGGCCTTGTCCACAGGAATCCAGCCACTGCTGCCCTGTGGCATCAGTTCCCCCTTCCCCACCGAAAGGGGGAAAGTGGAAGTTCCTGCCCTGGAAATCGGAAGGCCAATGCCAACTGACCTATGAGCCTGTCCAATCCCTGTGTCCCAGTGTGTTTGACTCCAGCTTAGGGAGCTGACTAGGGCTCTTGGATGCTTATATATCCAGTCAGGAGCACGTTCTGCACACGTGATGGATGTCAGGCCTTGTGCTAGGGGACGGAGATAGAGAAGAAGGTGACACATCCTTGAGTTGCTTCTTTCTGAGCTGACCTCCCTCTGAGTGCTAACACGGCCCCTTCTGGCCACCTCCCCCATCAGAATCAGCCTGGAGCCTGACTCCCCCAGATTCAGCATCCTTAGGGCCCCCACTGATAGCGTTCCTTCCCACTCTACACACTGCCCCCTGGGGATTCTGGCTCTCAGGGGGAGAACAGACCTGCCTAAGCTTCTCTAGGAAAATTCATTTCAGGCCCTTATTCCAAACCAGACCTTTTCCCCTTGGTCTTCCTTCGTCTCTGCCACGGGAGCCCAGTGTGGCTGGGACATCTGCCTGAAGAGGTCCCGGCTCCCTTACGCGGGCAGACCTGCCTGAAGACCTGGCAATGGGTTTCCCCACCTCCTTCTAATTCCGAGTTCAGCCCCTGTCCTCCAGCCAGATGTTTAAGGAGCAAGGCCTGCTGGGGGCCCAGCCTCGCTGGGGGTGATAAGTTCACATTTGCACAGCACTCACGGCAACTCTCAAAGCGCTTTCGCTTACGCACCTCAGCTTCCTGACAGGTCTGTGAGACAGGGATTGTTGCCCCAGTTGAGAAACTGAGGCTCGGAGAAGCAAAGGGCCCCGCCCGCGGTCTCCCGGCTCCGGCTCCGGTCCTCGCTCCTCCTCCGCGCCTCCTTCCGGAGTCTCTGCTGCGCGTGTGGGACGGAGCCCGGCAGCCAGGAGAGGTTCCGCCTCGCGCCTCCAGGCAGCTGTTGTGAAGGTTTGACGGCAGGGTCAGCAACTGGGGTGCTGCCTCCTCGCCTGGTGGATAAGGCGCACGGCGGCCCAGAGGGGAAACGTTTAAGACAGCGCCGGATTATCTTCGGATCTACGGGGCCAACAGGCGGGGCAGACAGTCCCCGCAGGCAGGCGGCAGCAGACAGGGCCTCAGGACCACCTCCCAAGCTCGGGGCGTGGCTTCCTGAGAGGGAGAGGAGGAACTCAGGACCAACCTCAGACTCCTTCATCCTTTGTCTCCTCTTCCCTGCGATGAAAGGGATGAGAAAATAAACCGCATCCGGCAGGGTCAATAAACTGGGGTTACCTGGCCCGTACATGGGCCTTCAGAAAAGTTATCAGGGATGTTAGGGGAGCTGCAGCCGTCTTCATCTTGCCTGGGATGGCGGCTACAGCGGGAAGGGGTCCACAGTTTGGTGTGGGGGCTGACGGAGGAGAGAAGGAGAATTTAGTGCCTAATATATTTTCTGATTTTCGAGGATTGCAAAATGCCAGAAGAGATTTGCTAAGTGAAGTTGTAGGATCTTCACCTTCAGAGGTTATTCAGCCCCATCCTCAGAAGAATCTGCCTCTGCTCCCCTGTGCCCCTCTAGAGGGTACCAAAGAATGTTAAAATGTGAAGAACCCAAGCATTGTCCCCTCCTGACTCCATGCACGGCCTAAAACAGACGGAGACACATCTCATCTTTAAGTTCTTGTCCTTGTCTCAGAGCTTCACGCGGTCCTACCCAACCACTTACAGCCGCCTGTCCTCCCTATCTCGGTTAGATAACGAAGTCCAAATTATCCCAGACATTTTACAGATAAGGACATTGAGACTTAGAGAGGCAAAGGCACTCACAGGAGGTCACACAGTTTAATTAACACTCACGTTGGACCCCAGGTTTTCCAACTCCAAACCAATGCTCACTGCCCAGTCTGCGCATGTCTGAATGCCAGCTGTATTTCCTCTGTCTGGTTGGTTAAGAGCCAGGTTTCTGAGAGCAAGCCCTCGGGATCTGAGCTGAACAGACTCAATGTTGTCTCCGATCACATCTAAAAGGCATTCTCTCCCCCTTTTCCCTCTCCAGCGGCATGGCCTGCCACTGCCTGCTGGGCACAGAGCTGGTTTGTGTGGGGGAAGTGTTTTACAAGTCTGGAGACCAGCTGAAGAGGGGGAAGGCGGAGTTTCCAGGGGACCCCAGCAGGGTGGCCTGCTCCCAAGAGCCGGAGCCAGAGCCTGAGCAGGCATCCGTCCACCAGTCCTTCCTGCAGACTCCACAACCACCATTCCTCTAAGCCACTGAGCCCCGCAAGAAAGAGCTTCCCCAGGCTCTACCTCCCGCCCTCCCCGACGCCTCAAGGCCACTTAGGTCCCCACCCTCGGCTGGTCCCGCAGGGCTCTGCCGGAGTACCCAGCCTGGCGGAGTTCTCTGCGGTGTACGGTCCCACTTACTGCCCTGGAGGGAGGCCCTGCGTGGAGAAGCTGACCAGCCTCCTGGAAAGGGAGCCCTGGTCTGTTCGCAGTGGTGGATGAACAGAGCGTCTGTTCCAACAGAGGGGAGAGGGGCTTTTCTAGCCTGGAAGCCGGCTTCCCAACCAAGACCCCATCTGCTTTGCTGTGACATCTCAGCCCGGGAAAATGTCCCAGCCGGTTCCCCGAGGGGGGCTGCCTTCCCTGTGTTCCAGGAATGAGCGAGCTTCCTAATTTAGTCTGTATTTGCCTGAGATAGATTTTTAATTAAATAAAGTAAGATCCTGATTGGAACCTGCAGAAGACGTGAGAGCAGAATCAGATAGGATTCCGGCAAAATTGCAAAGCAAACACTTTGGCTGGAGCAGAGGGAGACCCCTAGGGGTCTTCCATCAAAGCGCCAAGTGGGGAGGGCAAATGCGAGAGTTTATATAGCCAACAGATGTGCATTGTTAAAATATGCAGCTGCCGGCAGCCTGCTTGGAGAAGTCAGGGGGCCAGCTCAGAGAGCCTGCCGTGCTCAAGGGAGGGCAAGGGGACCTAGGCCCGACAGCCAAGCCTGGAGTCACAGACACATTAATTAGCCTTGTGTTTCCAGCTCTCAGATGCAATCAGGCATGGAGTAACTTTGAGCGGAGCATTTGCTACCCTCGGAGGCAGAGGGAGGGAGCTACAGGACAAGGAGGGGAGGAGAGGGAAGGGGTGGAATTTGTGAAGCTGAGTGGCAAAGACTGGAGAGCCCCAGTCTCGGTGAACTGTCAGGCTGCCCTCCCTCTGTGACCCAGCCAGCTGCCGAGGACCAGGCCTTGACTCAGGCCAGGTGGAGACAGGTTTCTTTCCACCCCCAGAACATCTCAGGAATCATGGTATCATGGACAGAGCAGCAGACTTGGAGGCAATAGTCATGGTCGTGCCTTTGACCAGCTGTGTGACCTTGGCCATGTTACTCAACCTCTCTGGGTCTCAGTTTCCTCATCTGTAAAACAAAGGTGGTAATAAATAAAATTATCTCTAAAGAAGTATCCAGCTCCCAGAAAGCCATGACTTCCACAATAAGGAGTCCAACTTGCTGCACCAACTATTTTAGGAAAATAGCCAGCTCATCCCCCACTGGAACCAGAATTCATGTGGTGACTGGGGCATAGAAGGTAATGGTAGGGTCTTTTAGATAGCATCCCACTGTGAGGCTGGAGATGGGACCTCTCAAAGTCCCGCCCAGCCCTGGGATTCTGGACTTGGCTTTATGCCTTAACCCCAGAGTATCCAGCTTCCAAGCATCCTGAGCATCTCTGCCGGGACTCAGCTTAGCTGGAGGTGATAGGACCCCGGGCATGTGTGCAGGGCTGTGGTGTGGAAGGAAGGGCCCTGGCTGGGAAGTACAACACCTGCCAGCAGCCCACTTGCTGCATGAACTTGGGCAAGGTCTTAGAGCTCCCACTGGGCCTCTGCTTCCCTTCTCTAGAACCAGCACTTAGTACGGGGTGGTTCTCAGTAATATTGGGGGGGTTTTTGAATGAATGAATGAGTGAATGAATGAATGAAGTTTCTGGTTCGTCATCTATAAAATGGGCATAATTGGGGCTGGCCCTGTGGCCAAGTGGTTAAGTTCGCACGCTCCGCTGCAGCAGCCCAGGGCTTCGCTGGTTCGGATCCTGGGCGTGGACATGGCACCACTCGTCAGGCCATGCTGAGGCAGCGTCCCACATGCCACAACTAGAAAGACCCATAACTAGAGTATACAACTATGTGCTGGGGGTATTTGGGGAGAAAAAGCAGAAAGGGAAAAAAAGAAGATTGGCAATGGTTGTTAGCTCAAGTGCCAATATTTTTAAAAAAAACATAGGCATAATAAAAATACCAACCTCCTAGAATTGTTGTGAGCATCAAACTAACACACACACACACTGAAACGCCACACACTTGCAGGTCATACACACACGCACACATGCAGACTGCTCTCCTCCCCCAGGCAGGAGCCCCAGGGTTGGAAACTCTCTACAGTGTTCCAGGGCCACAGTATAGGTGATATTGCATTTGATCTCGCTACCTGCCTGAAAACTTGGGAAGCAAGAACTTCTGGGACCCAGAGCAGGGAGGAAATGGGTGCCCAGGATTTGATCAACAGATATTTACTGAGGACGTGTTACATGCCGAGCACTCATCTAGGCACTTGATATTCATCAGGAAATGAAAGAGAATAACCACCCCCAACCTGATGGAGCTTGTGTTCCAGCCGAGAGCGAGCCAGTCAATAAATAATAGAGATTAAACAAGTACACCGTGTAGTCGTGTAGGATGTCAGATGGTAATAAATGCCATGAAGATGAGAAAGTGGAGCAGGGTAAGGGGGATTGGAAGCGGGCAGGAGGAGGGTGGATGTCAGGTTAATTATTAAAAAG